CCCCAAGAGACAAGAGTTTGACATTTGACAGTTGCATCAACAAGGCAGAGCTGAACATCAGCACTCATGGCCAGTCCCCTATGAACCACACCTAGCTTGGAGATGAGTAATAGCATTTTTAGATCCTTCAATTTTGTTGAAAAGTCATATACTTACAAGGAAAATAACTGGAAATATAATAAAAGCACCTGAGGTTTTGTTAGTTAATTTTCTGTGTGACATCCCTGTCCTCTCCACCAGCAATGTTTGGCCCTGGGGTGTGTACAGCAAGTCCCAGCTCTTGTTGGGATCCTGGATTATTGACACAGGGACACAAAGGGGATCACAGACTGCTGGTGGCACCAAAATCAATATGGCAACATCCTCCCATCTTCCATCTACAGCTGAGCAGCTCCCTCCACTGAGAGCTGGCACTGCCTCCCACCACTGACAGACTGACACTTTTCACTGGCCCAAGTTACTCCAATACTGGATCAATTCCTTCTGCCAGCAAGTTCTTATTAAAATATTTGATAGACTGTGCCATTAACAGTTTATCACTGAACAATATCAATGGATATGCTAATTATCAGTCTGACTGCACTAATGGTTTAAGCTTAGAGCAGTAAGAAGAGTTTAATAATTGGCCTATCATTCTAATTTAGTATTGAAGAAATAATGTTTTATGTTACTGCAGTTCCTTCATTGAAGTGTTTTCCAGAAATGAGAAGGAGAATTAAATCCTGAGAATTCTGATAGGGAAAAGCTATGCCAACGCATTTTGTTTGGCAACCTTACATTCAGAGATGGCAAGCACCCAGATCCAAACTAAACCCAGGGAGCCTGGGAGGTTTGAATTTTGAATATTATATTCAAAGTAAAAATATTTTGAAAAATAAGACATTACAGCTGTGGTAAAGCAATCTAGACAACACACATAAATTAAAATCTCTCCCAAAGAAGCCCCTAGACCAGGATCAGCAGGCAGCACACACCAAGACCATGAGCTCCCAGCACAGAGCACAAAGCTCCAGCAGCAGCCAAGGGCTGCCCTCAGCCTCCCTGTGATTCTTATCATATAGAAACTCTGTTACCCCACACAGTGGATTAGAGGGTTATTAATGTCTCCACTAATCCAAAGTACAAACCAGGGTAGGACACAACACCCATTCTTTTCCTATTTCTCTGCACTATTCCTGCCCCTATTCTTGGGCCCATTTTCATTTCAGTTCAGGCCTTAGAATAGAAGACAATTTCTACATTAATTCCTCTCATGTTGTTCTGTATGCTATTTCTACCACAGCAGAAAAAGTAGTAGTTTTATACTTGCTTTCCACAAAACAAATCATAGCTGATGTGTCTTGCATGAGTAAAGAATGCATAAGTTATTTATAATCAATACAAGTAATTATAAAAAGCCATTATTTTTCCTCAGGGGAACATACTAATCCAGTTCTATTTTGTCATATGAAATCTTAAATTGGAGGTTATGCTACTCCTGTAAGCAATAAATCCAGTGCACACAACTAAAGATATGAAATAATTAATTTCTTCATTTTTTTCCACGTTAAAATAGAACACTTTCAAGGCACACTTTTGGTAAATTACTTACAAACAAAATCAGCACAGATGAGAACAACAAAGTGGATAAAAAACCCAAACTGGTCTTTTGGCTGCCAGAGGAGGATGGGGAGAGGAGCCATTTTAGGAGCTCCAGTTCTTTAGTGTAGGACACAGCAAACACTTTCAGAACCCACTCAACTTTCCAGCCATTCCCTTTCTCTACAGCATCCTCATCTCCCCACAGCTAGGGAGCAGGAAAGGGACAGCAATCCATACCTCCTGTAAGACAGGCTTCACCTACCAAACCACTCAATTTACCTGCACCTTTTTAATAGCAACAACACAAATACATCCAACGTGGATCTTCTAATACAGTACAAACCTACAACTACCTTTCTGGTCAAGAGGCATCAAACTTTTGTACACTGAACAGCTCCCCTGCACACCTGCAGTGAGCCAGTCTGCGAGAGCCAAGAAGAAAATCTGCTGGAAGTTGTTCTGCAGGCCTTAGAAGAACAATAAACAATGGTTATTCACCACAAAGTACAGGAGAACAACCCCTACCTATGCTGACCTTATAAACATGACAGCAGGGAAACTCACCTTGCCCTCAGTGCCCTCAAAGGATCAGCAATGACTGATCTTAATGCAGGGAAAACCCCACAATCTAAGCACCTTCATCACTAAAATTCTCAAAAGGCAGGCTGAAATCCCTAAGGATAAGCACTTTCTGGTGTAACTCCACAAAAAAGAAAAAAAAAAAAAAAAGGCCCACGCAATTCCCTAGACATGCATAATTAAGAATACATCATTGCCCTTTTCTAACAGAGTGCTTCCCCAAGGAAACTCAAGTGTTCTCTAGAAGAGGAGAGCCCTGGCCTAGTCCAATGGCTGGGTGAGCACCAATCCTGCAGGATTCTGCACATCTCTCCAGTTCTATAACAACATTATGACCAGCCTCTACTTAAATTCCTGGCTTTCTCACCCCTTCCATACATCCCATACAGTAAACACTGTCCCCTTAACCTCACCCTCCAAGCTTAGCATTACCTACAACTTTTTTATATGCACGCAGATCTGCAACCTCTTCCAAGGTAAAAAACCTTCACAATTCCTCTCAAACCAGAAAGAAATAACCTTTCCACAGCAGGAACCTTCAGGGAAAGCTCAGCTTCCTTCTGCACAGGTACATACCACCTTGAGAGAAGATCTGTTATTTTCTTTGTCTTTTCCAGGAAAGAAACACACCGCACATCCCGACCTGCACCTTCCGAGTGCCTTTTCGAACACAGCCAAACATCCCCAGAATTTCTACTCTGTCTCACCCCCGCCGTGGCCAAAGCAATGACGGCGTCCCACCCGGAGGATCAATGTCTACCTGGATACACCGCCACCCTTCCCCTGCCAGGGTGTGGAGGCCTCGTCCCATCCCGGCTGGGCTCCCCTTCCCCAGCAGCAGCGCGTCCTCCCAGCGTTATCCCCGCGCCGGGA